AGTTATGCCACAAAGCTTTACTCTTGACGTATTAAATAATAGCTTACGAAACAATTGTCCCCACACAGGTCACACCTACATTAACCCTAAGATATTCCTTGTGAATTAATCACCAACTTACTGAGTATCTCATCCCAAAGTAAATAATCCTTTTTCAACTGTTCACACAGGTATAAGGAAAATGAAGGGCTCATTATCTTTTGGAAGGAAAAGATATTAAAATTTCAAACAAAAGTGTCACCTATATCTTCATTTAGACCTGAGAGTGCAATCATATTAATAACGCTAACTTTAATAGATAATTTTATATGAAATAAAAATTTGACAGTTGAAGTACTTTTTTTTTCTCACAACATCAAAGGGAAAAGAGTATATAGTTTATATTTAATCATTCCTTGCCAGGCTTAAGAATTTGATGAAAATAATGACAGAGAGAAAGAAGCAAAGAACCTTAATAACTATGTTTCTGCATTCCTTGTAGTTCACACATTTTCCATAGTTGCCAGTAGAAATGAGTTTTCTCCATGTAAACTTATTAAAAATGAAAAGTACGGACTTGTCTTCAAATCCTTCCATTGGGAATGTTCCCTATACCAAACCTGGTCAGGATTAGCTGTACTAACCAACATGGTCAGGATGATGGAAATAACACTGAAGAGAAAAAGCTTTAAAAAGTTTACCTTGCAGGGCCTCCCTGGTGGCATAAGGGGTTGAGACACAACCTATGAAGCTATCCTCAGCCACTGCAGCATGAGTTCAATTCCTGGCCAGGGAGCTACCCACATGGCGCAGCAGATCTCTCCTATCTTGCCCGCTGTTCCCCTTGGCAGTGTATTTCAGTCAATCTGCCTGTTCTGTTCCCCACTCTGTCTCTGGTGAATCCTTTCATGCCTCACACCTCTGGCCTATACCCCAGTTCTTGTATGCATAAATAAATAAATATTCAAAATAAAAAAAGTTTACCTTGCAGCCTGATTAAGATCAGAGCCAGTAGGATGATGAGAACGAAACAAAAAGAAAGAAAACTGCCCCAAGTGTAGTGTGCCATGTAATTTAGCTCATTATAATTAATGATTATAATGATTAATTAAACAATTTTATGATGTAAATACAATCATTATCTCCCTGACAAAGGAGGAAACCAAGACTTGCAGAGTTTTAGCTGCTTGCTAAAGTTACATAATTGTGTGGTGAAGTGTTTCTAATTCCAAAACTTCTATGGAGTCACAAAATCCCTTCATCACTCAAATGTATACTGCTTTCTTCATTCCAAGTCACCTCCTTTGCCTGGTCTTCAAATATCTGATTCTCATTCTTTCTGTTTCTCTTTCTGTCTCTCTCCCTCTCCCTGAGAACATCTGGCACATGACCATCTCTTTCACACTAGTAACTTGGCCTTTGTAAGCAGGCTGGTAACCGAATGCTGTCCCCAAAGATGTTGGAGGAAATATATCATTTAAAAGAACCTGAATTAAAAAGAGAAAAAGAAACTTCTGTTCTTCAGCCCTTCATTATCTATGTCCACGTGTGATATTAACCAGTGTTGCAACATCACTAGTCCTTGCCAGATCTTTTTCCTTATTGCCTAAGGGTTAATCAGATAACTGGCTTTCCCGTCCTTTTTTTGAGTGGGAAGAAAAAATGTGTCATGTACAGGAACATGCCTGAATAAGTGAATGGAAGCTACTCTGAGAGGCCAAAACCATAAAACTTACCCTCAGAACACCACTTTGAGGCAGCCTAGGTCAGAGGTTATAGCTCCCTGTTACCTATCATTCAAATCCCAATTTATAAGTTCTCTGTCTTGGCTATAACCCAAAAGCCAGATGTTGAAGCCCTTGATGGAGATGAAGCAATGACAAGAGATGACCCATAAGCTGGAAGCCGCCTTTGATTCAAAGTGTAAAGGGTACAATTCTATGGTGCAAAAATAGAAGGATGGTTATAGTCATCTGAACCTAACCTGCATTCTCCACAGTAGCCATTTGATCTGCATTTGCCTACTTTTGTCTCAGTACATTCAGGAATTGGTTCAGAGGAGAGGGGTATCATTTTAATTTTGGTTCATTCCCCAGCACATCCCCATCATACGTCATTTTAGCTGCACATTAAATAAGATGCAATCACTGCTCCTGCAGATCTCACAGAGAAATATTATTTAGCGTGAAGATATTTTAATGGGTGTGAGACACAAGGATTAGTGGGGCATCAAGGAAGGAGTCATTGATTTAGCCCAGGGGCCACAGGCTTGCAAATATGGTGGTTCATAGATTCATTCTTCAAGGATGAGTAGTTCTTTGCCAAACAATGATGCACAGAATGGAGGAAGTACTCTAGGCAAATATTGGGACACCAGGTCCAACATCCAGTGTAGAGGCAGGGAAGTGAGGGCAGGGTGTATGGAGAAGAGTCTGGTAAACACTGGAAGCAACTGAAATGTTTGTTAAAAATACAGATGGCCAGGCTTACTGATCCAGGAGGAAAAACCTGCAAATCTGTATTTTCAAACAGCCCCCAGGTAATTTTTGATCAGGAAAGTTTGGGAAACACTGCCTAAACTTGGGGAGCCACTGAAGATCTTCAAGAAGTTGAGGAATTTTAACAGAACAGAATTTTTAACTCTGTTGGCAGAGGGAGCTTGAAGGCAAATTGATCACGAAAATAGTTTAAGAGAATATGATGGTCCAAAATATGTACTGACAATGGGTATGGAATTTAAAGAGTGAATTTAAGAGGTATTTAAAGAGTAGAACGGGACAGACTTAACAGACTGCAAGTTGGCAGTGATGGAAAGAACTAGATGGGTCCCGTGTTTCTGACATAGGCCACTGGGTGGATGAGCTGTTGCCAGGAAAAAGAATATAGCTAAGGTAGGTTGTCAGATATTTCCTTCACCGATGAGCATTTGCCCCCTTTGCAAGCAGGGTCCACCCCCTCCCCAAAGGTAAAGTACACAATAGTCTTTCAATTTTTTTAAGATTTATTTTTATTTATGTACAGAAGAACTGGGCTGTAGGTCATAGTTGTGGGTGGGAGGAAGGGAGAGGGTGTGAGAAGATTCAGCAGAGACAGTGTGGGGAGGAGAACAGGCAGAGCTACTGAAATACACTGCTGAGGGGAGCAGTGGGTGAGACAGGAGAGGTCTGCTGGGACATTTGCTCCCTGGATGGGGATCAAACTCCTGCTGCAGCAGCAATAGCACTGAGATTAACCCCTACGCCATCAGGGAGGCCCCACAATAGTCTTTATACAAGTATAGATCGATATCCAGTCATAGCTTATGGATCAAGAATGGATACTTCAATACACTGTGCAAATTAAACATTGTTTTGTGGTAACTAGTCATTAGATCTACAAAAAGCCAGAGTTTTTAAACTGTTGCTGGAATTTTAACTGCACTGTGGGCAGTCACATTACATCAGTGGATGACGGGGAAGCAGAGAACAGACAATAGTAATAGTAGTAGCCGTGATGGTGGTGGCAGCAGTAGCAGAAATAAGGAGCAGGGAGGGGAAGAGCAAGAGGAGGGGGAGGAAGAGAGGGAAGACAGAACTAACAAAGCAGGCACAAGCCAAAGCAGCAGGTATGAAGATAAAAATCAGGGATAGTGGTAACGCCCCAATTTTGGGTTACTGCTCCTGTATGAGAACTGGCTACATTGCTCTTATAAATTCATCTCTCCTTATGATGAATTATTTTGTTCTGGTTTATTCAATTTGGCTCACTACTTTCTGATATTTGTAATTCAGGGATAAAGATTAAAAAATGGGTTTTGGGCATCAAGATTTGAGGTATTCACAGAATGTTCAGGTGGAAACATCTAGCAGGAGGTTTGAGATATTAGTCTGGCATACAAGAGAATGGCTGGATGTATGAATACGAGTTTAGGAGTATTCTTAGGGAGGCCCACAGCCAGAAGCCATGGGCCTCCCCAATCCTATCTTCTAGTAGAAGTATCAGGAGACACACACACACACACACAGAGTCAGATAACCTGTGAGTACCCTCTGTCATTTGCTCACAGCTCAGGCTCTGCCTCTCCATGATTTGAGCACTGTTGTGCCACAGCATCGTGGTGGTGGTATAAAGAAGAAAGAAAAAAATAAAATTTACTCATGATTTCATCATCCAGAGATAACTATTCTTACTAATTGGTGTGCAATTATTTCCATGTATTATAGACAGATATAATAAATATATATATATAAACAAAAGAGAATGGTGGCTGGGATGAAGTATTTGCCTGTGGTTGTTATGTATGCTGAACTGGCTATGGTCATCTAGATAGTTCAGAAGGAAAGGAGATAAGAAATAGCAGCTTAGTATAATTTGTTCCAGCTCCATCCATGTATCTGTTGCAGCAAATGGCATGAGTTTATCGTTTTTGTGTGCATGAAATAAGCCAGAAGGAGAAAGATAAATAGCAGATGGTGTCACTTACATGTGGAATACAGAAAAACTAAACAAAGGGTCAAAAACAAACTTTAAAAAATCAACTCTTAAAAACCAATCATAGATCTTAGACTTTCAGAGAGGGAGAAAGAGAAGTGAAAACAGAGGGGTGAGGGCGGAACACAATGGACTATGGGGGAGGAATACTGGTGTTTGGGTCGGGGGAGGGCTTTGGTGGATTCCAGGAAAGTATCCTGCACAGAACACTAGCAAAGATGCAAAATAATGGTACTTGAACAGCAATAGAAATAAATTAAAAAAATTTGAAAAATTCTCTTAATAAAATAGAAGCTATTTACATTAAAATGAAAGAGTAAAGTGAAAGACTTGTTATTTCTGAGGGAGTAGAAATGATCCTCTGGTTTTTGTGGCTAAAAGAGAATTTTCCATAATTCTTAAAATTATTAAGTATAACTGTCTATAAATATTGTAATTAACCTAATAGGACTATAAGTCATAAGTAATGACAGGCATTAGTAGAAACCTCCGTATGCAAATTTGACAAAATAGTGTTTATTTTAGATGAGCAAACTATCATTTCCTTTCAGGAGAAGCTAAATATTAGTGAACTCAACTTTGATGATCCTATTATGATGTTTATTACTACTTCACAGAAAGCAGAAATCTAAAATGTGATACAACTAACTCTGCTACAGAAACTGGTAATGATTTCTTAGTTTAGCTACAAATGAAGACCAGAGCACCTCACTGAGTCAAAGACTTCACCACATCTCATAAATCAACAGCGGCCTGGGATTCTGTCTGGGATGACTTCCAAACATGTGTTAAGCATTATTTGTCATGGAACTTTGTGTAATAAAAATTTTATTTTTTTATTAAATGATCACTAGGACATTTGTCAATTATGATGGCTGTTTGGATCCTGCTTGCTCCTTCTTTCTCCTCTTAAAAGTCATATAGTCCCGTAAAAATATTTCAAGTTAGGCCCTGAAACACTGCCACTTTCAGCATGTCATATCCCTGCCCAAAAACCGAGGTGACACAGAAAAAAAAACAGGCAGGAAACACAGCTTTTTCCAAGTTTTCCTTGAATATGGTATTTATAACTAGAAACAACAATGAAAAAAAAATCTGTATATTAGCAAAAATTTGTATATTAGCAATTAGTATGTATTAAATTTCCGAGATATACTCTTGAGAATAGATCATATTTTCCCTATTTTATCGGGTACTCGGTAGTTGTAGTTCTTTTCTTTTTTTTTTTTTAATGATTTATTTATTTATTTATACAAGCACAGTACAGTCAGAAGTGTGGGAGGGTGAGAGAATTCACCAGAGCCAGAGCAGGGAACAAAACAGGCATACCAACAAAATACACTGCTGAGGGGAGCAGCGGGCGGCAAGAGAGGTCTGCGCGCCAAGTGGGACCCTCGCTGGCAGCCGGGGATGGAACTGGCGAGGCAGAGGCTGCGGGCAGCCTAGCAGCCCAGCACTCAACTGCTGCGCCACCAGGGGAGGCCCAGTTGTAGTTCTTTTCTTCTGCTAAAGTTCTGCGAAACTTTTAGGGAACCATTTGTGAGATGCAAACACACTGAGACATGCAAAAACACTGGTCAATATTTTTTCCTCTAAGAAAACACACTTTTTAATAAACAGTGAGCATTTACTAAATCACAAGGGGCAGAATAAAATATGTAATCAAAGTCTATTTTTTCCACTGTTTTGCAGAACATTAACTTTACTATTTTAAATACAAGAGTCTTGATTGGGCCCTGGGTAAGGGAGAGGGAACAGTTAAAAGACATTATTAACAATTGAGAAAAACTGAGTATAGTCTATATATTATAATTGCTATATCAATGTTCACTTCTGAGGGTGTGATAAAAACATGGTCATTATAGAAGACAATGTTCTCATTCTTAGAGGAGAATCATTCTGAAGTACTGAAGGGGTACAAGTGTCATGATAGCTGTAACTTTTCAAATGGGTCCTAAAAAGTTATTTACGTATATAGCAGGAGGGAGAGGAAGCGAGATAAAACAAATGTCACAAAATGTGAAGGGTATATTGGCACCAAATTGCACTTCCAACTTTTCTTTAAATAGGCTTTGGTTCAAGACTTCTCTTAAGAAAATTAGGAGAAAGTATGCAGCATATCCAGCATATTTAAGCAAGTAATCTTTTCATCCTGCCCCACTTTCCAAAGATCTAAATATCATATAACAGTTTTCTAAGGATATAGTTGGGGAAACACCAACTAAACACCTATAAGGAATTCTCTAACTTCTATATGTTCTATTACTGCTTAATTAAGCTTTGGCTTTTGTTTTTTAAAAAATAAGGCTTTAAGTGCTTGATCCTTTTTCTCAGGACATTATATGTTTTAACAAACAGTTAAACATGTCTTGTCCTTTTCAACACAAATAAGCGTAATAGCCTCCCAAGAGACTCTACTGCCAACTGCACAAAACTGAGACCCAGGCCATGCCCCTGGGTTGATCACATGTGTTTGCTGCCTTTGTAAATTGCTGGGTTTTACCTAAAATATAATTCTTTTGTGAGTGAAACTCATTCACCTTCAAAAATTATTGCAAAATCTCTATTTTCTTTACCACTGCTTTTTCTTTAAAGGATGTGGTCTGGAAAATCTTCTAATTACATAGCAGTAAAGTTTTGCTTCTGGTCATATTAATATTTTCCAAGAGAAACATCAACAAAATGCCTCACTGGTTTTTCAATCCCACCATTAATGCCTTTTGTTTAGACCAAGACCTGTGTTTCTCAAAGTGTGGTCTCCAGCCCAGCAGTAGCAACAGCACCTGGGAACTTGTTATAAATAGAAATTCTCAGACTCCACAACTTGTGATAAACTTTGGGGTGGTTTGCAGCAATCTGTATTTTAACAAACCCTCCCAGGTGATTGTTACATGCTGAAGTGTGAGCTGCTCATATAAACATTAATCTTATCTCTAGTCTGGGGTGTCCCTTCCAACAGTATCTTTCCCTTGAATTCATCATCCAGATCAGCAACAGGCTCACAAAAAAATAAGTCACTCTGACAGACCAGTATATGATACCCCCTCTAAGTCTAATGAAATGTTGGGCGTTTATTTAACCTATTTGGGCCTTAGTTTCTTTATATAAAAGTTAACACTGAACATGACATACCGGTAGTTCACTGAACTACTGAAAATAGTACCTTCTGTCTAGATGCTGCACAATCAATGGTTGTTTATTACTACTGAACTTAACATCACACTTGGTTTTCACAATACAAACATACATTGCCATTAATTAAGTCACTTGACTAAAGCAATTCAACTTGATAAAAGCATCAAGATTAGAACACAAACCTCCAAACTGCAAATTCTGGTTCTTTCCACTAGACAGGCTGCTTCCGCAGTATCAAGAACATTTATTCCAAAATATAAAATTACATTTTGGTACTAAAAAATCATATTCTTTAGAAATGAGTAGTTAAAGCTATGTGGAAATATTTCAATGGTAGCCTTTAATAAAAATTAAATCATAAAAGTGTACTTACCTGTTTTCTAAGCTTGATAAACTAGACTAAATATAGGAAGGTGAAATAAAAAAGCAATTTCTTTATTTTTAAGCTTTATTTTATCACCCTTATCAAACACATCAGAAAGCATATCAACAGTGCATCTTATGGTAAGTCAGTTTACAACAAAACTGAACAAGGCAATTGTGTTTACAGAAAAAGTTTTCAGCAAAAAACTATATGCAATACAGTCAACTGAAATGCAGTGTCCATACTTTTTAGGTATATAGGAAAGTGGAAAATAAAAGTTCTTTGCTACTCAACAAGAAAGAAAAAAAGTTTAAAAGATCTGTATAGAAATCAGAAATTCAGGGATTTGAGAAAACAATTCCTTGGTACTGATACACACCTACATTTACAGTCCCACTTAGTTATTAAACAAAAAAACCTCACAAACAAGAAGACATCACCAAGAACAGAGAACCATAGTACCAAAAAAATGCCAAGACCAATTTGCTACGGAAACAACTGGTAGATATATTCTAGATAGCAATTCACTATGTACTGTAATATTCTTGTAGTTCTGAGGTGAAGGTAAACCAACAGGAGAGAATACTCCCTATAACTGGCTTTGGTTTAAGTGATCTTTCACATTTTTTTCTAACCATACCTTATCAAAAACAAAGCTATTACATCTTACTGAGGGAAAAAAGTAGTAGGTTTCAATATTCACAACCAGTCACTCTGGTGCTGATAAAGAAAGCCATGAACTGTTAAAATCCATTGCTTATAACTGGACTTGTAAGAGTGATCAAAAGATAACAAAGATGGAGTCCTGTAATGAGGGGAAAAAAAGAAAACCCTCTACTTCAGATTTGACACTGTTAAAATAGAGAGGAATGTTAAATGATTTATGATTTTTTTCAAAAAAGAATTAAGAATGAAGGAGTAAATCCTGCTGGAAAAGATATGGCAGCTTTGCACTATGCAAAATAAATACACTACAGAGGAGCAGCTTCACTTTTTTTATTACAATAAATAAACACTACTTACTCGCATAAGGTGCTATAACTTTGTAACTAGTGCATACTTACGCCACCCACTGTACCCAATGTGCAAAGAGATGGCCAATCCCCAGTTTCTGTCTGATTCTTGATATGCATTTGTTAATGTACACCAAATACACAGAAGCTGGAGCCAAAAGTTTATTTTTAAAAATTAGACCAAACTGAACATGGATAGTTCATTTGGTTTCTATACACTCTTAAAATAATTTTCTGGGGAAACAATAATGAGGAATGTGTAGAAACGGCAGTGTTTCTATGCTACAGGTACCAAGCCTGGATTTTTGAAAATAGCATTTTTAGATCATAAACTAGAAAAAAGATGACTAATATCACTAAGAAAGCCGTTTTCTTCCCCTCATGTATTTGTATTATTTATCTTTCTCTCTTTACTCTTAAATTTTGCAATCCATGCCAACAAAATACAGCAATAATTTAAACTGAAGAGATTTTCAGAACATATATTGCATGACTTCAGATGTTAAAATTTAGAACACTTCTCTACATTTACTTTTGCACATTCAGGCATGAGGGGAGATAACCTAGAAGGGAAAGGTAATTCCAAACTGGGATAAAAAATGTCAACAAATACTTCTCTTGCTGACAATCAAGAATGTATAATAACAAATAGCGCCAATGTTTACATAAGAGTTTTCCAAACAGAAACAAAAAATGATTCCAGTTTGTGTTTCCCCCCCGAGAATGTAACTTATTTTATTATACAAAGTAGTATGACAAAATAAGGTCTTATCTGCATAAGGATTATCATAAAAGCAAATAAGACAGAATGCTTCTCTTTGACCCTCTGTCATAAAACATTCATATCCTTCAAAAAAGCTATCAGTTTTCTTTAGGATGTTGTGACAGCTATGCTACTTATGGGAGAGAATACTCTGGCAATCATTTAAAAAGTTTTCTGAGAATTTCAGCATTTATGGTGCCACAAACCTAACTGCTAAGATTATGACAACTCTTTAAGAAGCACAAATGAAGCAAATTTAAAACATTAATCCTCATAAGCAGCATAAGGATCAACAAAAGTGCTGAGCTATAGGAAAATGAATAAAACTTCATGTCAGAAGACCAAAGGTTGTGTAAACTACATCTTTTATATTCTTAAGATCCCCTTAGTGACCATCTATAAAATATAAAATTTCCTAACTGCTCTCTGGTTTATAGATATTTCTTTCACAGCCCATTTCTCCTATAAAATTGCAGCAAAAATAGTTAAAACTGTCCACCTTCTTGTTAAACATCTGCAGTACTTGTCAATTACATGCCACTGTGTGAATCTATTGGTCATTATACAATTTAAAAGATAATGAAAAATATAAAGAAGGGGGGGCTAAGAAATCAAATATGATATAACCTGTGGCATCGGGTAGAGAAGTTAACCTGGAAAACAAAATTTTAATATTCTTCAAAAATAAAAATACCCATATTCCTCATAACTAAGAAAATATAACTTACCCAGATTACTATAAGAGACTTAGATGATTTCTAAATTATGGAGATTCAGTATTTTTATATCCATTGTAAAAGGTAGAAATTAATACTAACTTGAAGAGACTACCATATCAAAGGTGATTTATTAAGCACCTTAAGAAGAAGTGCGAATTCTTCTGAGCTAAAATGTGACCAAGGGCTAATCTGTATGTAACCATACTTGACAAGAAATAAATTATATCAGAGAGTATTAAGATTTGAAGAAGGAATTTAGTATTAAAAGTGGAACCAGATCCAAGGAAGAATTAAAATTCTGCCAGGTAATGCTGGTTTTTCCATCCTATATAATATTGGGAAAAATCAAATATGAACAGTTTTACATATACAGAAATATGTAAACCAAGGAATCTTTAGACTTTTACACTACATGACTCAATCCAAAAGTTATTCCAGGGAAAAGGCAAAGGTGCAATTTTCATCATCTGGGAAGTTTTTACCCAAATGAGTGTTAATATTTTTCTAGGAAACACAAGGCACTTGCTTAAATCTTTGACTAGCCCACACATCCACGAGACCAAAAGTCAAGATGTGATTCCATCTGTACCCTAATTTGATAAAGACACCTAGCATGTACCCTCGCATAAAAGTCTAGGTAAAACTGTGTTCACTGAGGGTCTCCCCAACTCCCTCACATAGTTAACTCTTCTTGTAATTATTGTGGTGCTGATTTTCATTAAATCACAAAATATAAAATGGCATGCTGCCATACTGACCATAGAAATTATGTAATAGAGGTCTAATTTAGTAGTAAGATATAAGAAGAAAATGATGCCAAAATGCCAATTAACTGCATTTTATGAATAAACATTAATGAGCCATGATGCAGCACCTGCGTACTTCAACTATGACTTCAGTTTATTCTAGAAAGGGGACTGATGCCCTTGCCAGGGTAAGAGCCTGCTCTAGACAAAAACAAACCCCACCCTCAACTTTTCTCCAACTGCCTCAGTGTGGAAACACTGTACCTGGCAGCATTCCTTGTAGTAAAATTGCTCAAAGGTTAAAATGTAACTACAAGTAACATGAATATGGAAGGTAAATAAGAATTCAGAGTTTTTTTTAAAGGTCAATTTAACAATCTCAGCACTCTTTCGCAGCTGGAGTACCAAAGAAGGTGGCAGTACTTGTCTCGATGAAAACAAAGAGAAGGAGGAGCAAAACTCTATGGTTCCATTCTAAAAGCAGTCAATAGTTCTGGCTCAAAGCACAGCAGAGAAGGAATTCTCTAAAAAGTTGCTATGCTGATGGCCGCAAAATAAGGAAACAAATGCAATTACTTACTGCAAGAGGATCATATTTGTATTATCCCTTTTTGTATTATCCCATTTTTGTATGCTGTGTGTTTCTATTATTCCTTTAAAATGCAGGCAGTAGTTACTTTTAATCAGTGCTATCCCTACTGAGGAATTCAGTCCCCTCTTGTTTTCGCTAAAAACAGCAGTAAAATTTTGAAAGTGAATAGTAGCTGCCCCCCTCCTTCAAATATGTTTCCAAAGAACCAAGATTTCCTAACAAATAATCAATTTGTATGGTTTTCTAGGGCAAAAAATGTACCATGACAATACCATGGAATAAAGAAGGCGGCAAGAGGGGGAGAAAGCACAGATTTTAATTCAGGGAAAGAAAAACTACCTGAGATAAAATTCACCCAGAAGGGTATGGGCTAGTGAAATGAATCCTTACCTCTTTATCCTACCTCTCAAAAATAAAGTGTCTACATTTTTAATAAAACTTCAAGGGCTCAAAATCTTTGCGTATACAGTTCACACTAAAAGAATAATGAAAACTGCACCTTTTGATATTTGGTTCAGGTTTAAAATAATAAGATTAAATTTCTGATAATATTAGAGGAGGGAGAGAGATTTGTCATCTTTGGTAGTCATGGGCTGACAGCTATAAAGTAATGATTTAAATTATAGGAGGCATCTTTTTTCAATTATGTGGGTTTAATATAAAATATTTAGTTCACTACATGGTACTTAGACTCAACAATTATTCCCTCAGTTCCTTTAAAATCTACTTAGCATCTTCTGGAATAAAATTCTACAGTGTTGAAAACACTATATATGTATGGATACATTAGCAATAAATCATGAAAGAATGCTGTGAAATTCAGCATTTCACATCAGATGTTAGCAGCATACTGCATCACTAAGCTTACAAGCCTACCTGCAGTTGTTTTTTTTTAAGGATTTTTCTTTTTGGTGATGGAGGGGGGATAGGAGGGGAAGAAGGATGAGCGAGGTACATATGTTAATCTAGAATACTTACCCTAAGAAAGAATTCATTTGTATTTGGATTCATCAGTATGTATGGAAGGATCTGGATTTTTTATTCACCACGGAAATTGCTACCCATACAAACATTTATGTTTTAGGAAAGCTTAGGTCTCCACATTACTGGCTATACTCTCCTGTTTGAAAATACACCAGCTAGTTAACTTCTAAAAGGCCCAAATGAAAACTAATAGTTCTTCTTTATAAGGGCACATATTAGAAGCTTTCTATATGATTTTCCTTGGAGTCATGCCAGTAGGTCTTTTGGCAATGCATAAATAAGCCTCCTTGTACCAAATTTCACTTCATAATAAATATTAAGGGCAATTATGAACAATTTGATTTCTGTAAATAATTAGAATATTGAATAGTTATAGTTTGAACAGGGGAAAATAATTCATCCTCTAAAACGTAAATTTTTAATTGGGCTCTCAAACTGTGTGACACATAAGAAGCAGCTATCAGAAGGGAAAGATATATAAAACTTTCCTTAGGAAATAAATAAATAAATAAAAATTACATTTAAGTGAGGAAACAAGAGAAGATCCATAGCCTGTATACCTTTTCTCTTGTATAATCAGTGCTTTACGAAGTTTCTTAAGTTTTAAGCCTTTTAAAACAATTTATCACAAAGTGGGAAGAATCCATAATTGTTAACTTCTGAGACCATGTAATCAACCTGTGTCTGTGAACTCACACATACTAGTATCCTCCATTCAGGAATACATTAGATTGCTATGAATCCTTTTCAGAATTCATTTCAGTTTTCTTCCTTTAGACTTCCACCTTGTATTATAGCTACACCTTTCTTAACCTCCTTGCAGTCAAAAGCCAGACCATCTGTGATACTGTTCTTCTAGCTATTCCTCAGCTAAGGCCAGAGGCAGAGAATGGGGAAAGGGGAACAGGAAGGCAGGAAATGAGAGAAAGAAGAGAAAGAGAATCTTGATTATCACATTGTCTTTGCCTAATTTGTTTTTCTTTTCCCTTCACTGAACATCAAATTCTTTCCTTTTTGACCCACTTCAATTTTCCACCAGTGGGCAGAACTTGAGAAATCTTACAGTGATCATAGGAAATTCAGCACAAAAAGATGAGTTAATACAGAGTCTAAAGTAGACTGAAAGATGGGGTAACTGATGTGTAACAAAACTTTTCCTTTGTTCCTATCACTTTAAGAGCTTCACTATAACCCAGCCTAGATTCATCTGTTCTGGGTCTCTCAGGAATGAACTATTTTCTCATTTACATTCTATCAGACAGACCTCACAAAAACTTTTATCCTAAATCATACAAACATGAAACAGGTAGGGAAGAAGTAAGTATAGACTATTAGCTCACAAGATTCACACTATAAAGTATGCCGACAAATTTTCTCTAATCTTTCACACCTGCACACTCACCTGAGCATACATACTAGAGACATAAAAATTGTGCAAGATCAAGCATCAGCTTTCTATTTTAAAAGCCTTAATTTAAAAAACAAAAATGGAGATAGGCTCACTGCAGTTTCTTTAAAAGAATATTCAGTACTACAGTACTGTTTAAAAAAACTCCCTAACTCAGTGTTAAGAACACAGTAGGTAGATAACTGCTGCCTGACAATCACTTAACATTACCAAGAGCATCCAGTGCCAGCTATGGATATCAACAATCAGGAAGAACCACCCAACAACATAAAGGAACAATCTGTAAATGATGTCACCAACTCTAACAAATTTGTTAATGATAGTCACTATGACATATTATTCATTCTTGCTTCATGATCACATGAAATAGTAATATCTTTTAAGGTTACATACTGAAGAGCAGCACTTGCCCTACTGCACAAAAAAAGGTTGCCCACATGAATGCTCTAGAACCCCTCAATGTATAGCTGAGAGGTCTTGTCCTACTCAGTGCCAAATGTCTGCAATGCAGTCACTGCTTGAGCAATGGCTGCACAGTAGTAGGATTAAATAAATATACAAAGTATTCCCTTAAAATGGTAAGGGGTACTTCTGCATTCAGATGTAAAATACAATAACCCAGGAATGGAAGAGAAGAAATAGGAAATAGTCCTTAGGTTACTGATTAAAGCAAAGTTTGATACAGATATCCCCTCTTGTAGGCACTCAGCGGGTAGAAAGTAGCCACAACAAACTTCCCGTCAAACATCCTTCCAGTCAGTAATTTCTGAGCAGCTTTGGAATCACCAGCATTTGCATACTCAACAAAAACCTGTAAGAGGACAGAGAAACAAAGCAACTTCATTTCCATTGAGATCATTTTTAGAATAACATTTCTCCAACTAGAGAGTCAGTGAGTGTGTGTGTGTATCACTTGGGGACCTTGTTACAACACAGATTCTGCTTCATCAGGTATAAGGTGGGGCCTGAGTTTCTGCATTCCTAAACAAACTCCCTGGTAAGGCCAAAGGTACTGGCCCATGGATCATATTTTTTGAGCGAAACAGTTAGAATTCTAATTTCCTCAGCATTCTGCAATTTTGGGTCAAATTCATCAAAAACAAGTGGGATGAAAAATACACAACCTTCTGCTAAGTTCATACAGGAGTGCTGAATAGTGCTAGACATTTGGGAAGACTAGGACAGAAAAGCCCAAAGAGCAATTGCCTTCCGAATTCCACAAAGATACCTAGCTACATTTTTAGAAGTGGGAAGAGAAAATACTGATCAAAAGTCACTGAAATTATACCTCTTAAAAGATTAGTAGGTGCCATACTATAGCGGGAATACTAAAACTAGATAATTTCCTTTTTCAGAACACCTGAATTCCTGTGTATGGTCTCAGAGGACACTGTACAACAATTTACAAGTTGTTTTGTTGATCTAAAGGAAAAGTCACAGGGAGAAGTAACATGAAGTGATTTGTCCAGTTACCCATAAATTTGTATGAGAAAAGAACTTTTTCATCTGCATGTCTCATTCTTTAGGTCAACAATCTTCAAACTGGGGTATGAGCACTCTAGGGCATTCAGACTTTCAAGGAGATGACAGAACAGTTATAAGCAAATCAGTGTCCAGATTCTGAACTTTCAGTTATAACTTTTCCTAAAATTGAATCTATTTAAGAATTTCAGGCAGGTTATCCTTTTCCATCTCCCCCATCATCGGTACCCTTCTCTAACTTAACAAAGTTATTCTACAGGGTGTAGAGCATAGAGAGCTTCAAGGCAGGAAAAGAAGAGGCAATTCCAAACAGTATATTTTTTAATGAAATCCTTCATTGGGAAACAAAACACTATGCCTTTCCCATTGTATGCAAATATTTGTTAAGAATGATGTATAACATTAGACCTAGGGTATTTGAGCCTGTGATGGGATTTTCTAAAATCACATATATTATAAAATTGAGCTGGGACTGACTGTGCCTCTTCCAATTTATGACTATATCCACTGTGCCTCTTCCATTCCATGCCTCTGGAAGATAAAGTAGAACAACCAGTGCTAAAAACCACCTTTTCACATATATAAGGTAAGTGGTACTTTTTAGCAATTCTTAAAAACCTATCCCTAACTATGTCATTCACTGGAAATATAATCACTTCCAAGTGACCAAAACAATTCAGTCAAGCTGTTTATTTTAAAACTAGCTGCACAGAAAAAAATACCATTAATAAAATGTAATATGATTTCTTTTATAGTAGATATACTTCATATACTTATTTAAGATCTATGTTATCAAACTACATCATGAAATGCATAATCAGTTAATGCTAATTTTATTCACCTTAAGATAAAATATTATAACTCTTTATTTAAAAGTATATATTAAAGGCTCAATTAGCTTCTAAGTTTATATTTTTTCATTATATACAAAAGAGAAGTTGGAAGATAAGGTCCAATAAGAATAATGAAGCTCTGATTTTTTTTAACCTGATTCTAAATAACTCCCAAATCCACACATATAAATGCAGTATGTGCAGGCATACACTTACAGAAGGAATTACCACGTTTTTTTCTACTCTTTGCTTCATATATAATCTGTAATTTTATCCATCACATCATTCCAAACTAAATAAACAATAAAAGCACATTATTTTTATGTCTTTTAAAGCTAAATAATTAGAGCTACTATCATTTTAATTTTGACTTTTTGTAGTTATAAAATGCATTATGGGTGCCTCCCTGGTGGCTCAGCGGTTGAGCGCTGGGTTGCGAAGCTGCCCGCAGCCTCTGCAGTGCCGGTTCAATCTCCAGCCACCGGGCGAGGGTCCCACATGGCGCGCAGACCTCTCCTGCCGCCCGCTGCTCCCCTCAGCAGTGTATTTCGTCGGTCTGCCTGTTCTGCTTCCCGCTCTGGCTCTGGTGAATTCTCTCACCCTCCCGCGCTTCTGACTGTACCCAGTGCTTGTATAAATAAATAAAAAAATAAATAAATAAATCTTTAAAAAAAAAAAAAAGACTTTAAAAAAAAATGCATTACGTAATTTATTTTCCAGAGGTATTTGTAATATTCTTAAAAAAAAAACGTAACAGGGGCCTCCCTGGTGGTACAAGGGGTTAAGATGCAACCTATGAAGCTATCCTATGAAGCTTTCGGCAGCCACTGCAACACGAGTTCGATCCGCAGCCAGCGAGGTGAGCCACATGGTGCAGCAGACCTCTCCTGTCTCGCCCGCTGCTCCCCTCAGCAGTTTCAGTCAATCTGCCCGTTCTGTTCCCCATTCTGTCTCTGGTGAATTCTCTCACCCCCACACCTCTGGCCTGTACCCCAGTTCTTGTACGCATAAATAAATCTTCAAAAAAAAAACATAACAGGTGGGCCTCCCCGGTGGCGCAGCGGTTGAGCGCTGGGTTGCGAAGCTGCCCGCAGCCTCTGCAGCGCCAGTTCGATACCCGGCTGCTCCCCAGCCACCGGAGGAGGGTCCCACATGGTGCGCAGACCTCTCCTGCCGCCCGCTGCTCCCTCAGCAGTGTACTTCGGTCCTTCTGCCTGCTCTGCTTCCTGCTCTGGCTCTGGTGAATTCTCTCACCCTCCCTCTGACTATGCCCAGTGCTTGTATAAATAAATAAATAAATATTAAAAAAAAAAAAAAAAACATAACAGGTTCATTTGAACTGACAAACTTGAGGAATTTCTCAATTCAAATGAAGGTGATCTTTGCCATCTAGATAAGAGATATTTTCAATTACCTAAAGATATTAACTCTGTGATTCTAAGAGTTTATCAAAAGTTGCTTTCATTCTCCTTTAAATGTCAGCGAAAGCTTCATAACAAAGTAAAATTCCTCTCGTTGAGGAAGACTTATCTTTTACATATCTTAAAACTGGATACGTATCCCCCAAATATTACTCTCACTTTTATATTCTGTCTTCCACCTCATTATGACCACTGATTTTAAGTTAGATCATATTAGTCTTAATTCAAAATCTTCCAATCCCCTCCCTTTGCATGCAGAATAAATAAAAACCAGCACTGCCTCAAGGGCTGCAAGGTTCACACTACTTTATCCGCCTCCACTCCTGACCAATCTGGTCTAATCCCCTAAGATTTCACCTCTTTTTCGCCCTGCTGTTGTCACACTGAGCTCTTCAAACCTGCCGGGCAGACTTTCAAGAGTCTTGGCACTTGCCATCCCCTCTGCCTGGAATTCTCTTCCTTTCCTACTTCAAACGTAACCTGAGTATGTCCGTCCCTTCCACCCTGTTGAAAAATATACCCCAGCCCACCACAGCACTTCTTCAACCTCTTCATAATCTTTGTCTCACAGCACCTATTTTGTCTCACAACACCTATTCTGTCTGTTTTGATCACTATTACATTCCAGTGGCTAGAACATAAAATAGACACTCAGTAAATATTAGCTGAATACACAAACAGCAATGACGCATTTAGCAAACACCTGACACTGAATGAGGTAAACACTATTAATATTAGTTTGGCAACAATTTTTCACTAATATTAGAGTGAATTTTTTTTTTTTTCAGTTGCCTAGAACTTTCATAATTTTGAATCACAAGATAAAATAATCTACAACCAAAGACTGTTTCACCACCAGGGACATTTGGCAGTGTTTAAGACATTTTTTGATAGTCACAACTAAGGAGGGAAACATGGGGCAGGGGTGGCAGTAATAAACACAGCTAAACCTCCTATAATACACATAACAGCTTCCTCAGCTAAGAATTACCCAATTCAAATGTCAACAGTGTCAAGGTTGAAAAAACAACCAGAGATAAAATTTAATTGAGAATCACAGTTTCTAAAGAAAACTTTGTGATCAGTTTTAGCCCAAACATTTCACACATGAAAAAGTTTATGCCTATCACAAAGCCAGTCATGTTAAGAATAGACTCAGCTTTCAGAGTTCTCCATGCAGTGCATGTGACTTCTTTAAATCACTGCTGATAATTCTATTATAAAAGGAACCTAACCTAAATGGTTTTCTAATTATACTTAATTAGAACAAAATTTGATCAAAATATTTCTGTAGCTGAACCTGAATTAGCCTATGATTCAACTGATTTCTGTTTAATTCTTTTTTACAATGACTTAAAAGTAGACTAATACTTTTTGAAAAACAAATTTTAACTGAATAAAAAGTGATGCATATTACAGAACTTTTTGAAAAAAGTAAAAACAGGAATAAAAACAGCCATAATGCAAAATTCATAACCCCTACCAACATGTGTACATCTTTCTAAAGAACTGAAACAATTTGTACAGAATTTTACTAAGCTCTGAATAGTTCTGAAATTAAGTAAATATTCAAACTCACTTGTCCTCTGCCAGGATTTTCCTTTGGAACAAGCAGAGAAACCACTGGTCCATATTTTTGACACTCCTCCTTAACATCTTCTACAACATCTGGTTATTAAAACACATAACAGCAACCATCACTTTGGTGTAATTAACAAAAATTCATCACTTTAAGAATGTAAATCATCAAAGAATTCAGGAACCTATAGCTAAGTAATGAGGTCATTTTCTACACCTTCTAAAGTTAAGCTTCAGTTAAGGATGTAAGTTCAACACATTTAATTTTTTTATATTTTAAAATGCAATGTTTTGAATAGTTAATACAAATGATTCAAATTCTTTTAAAAAAGTCTTCTCCCCTCTTTCCCAAATGCCATTCTGTTCTTTCCCCTGAAAACAACATCAGTGTGCTCTCTATCTTTCCATCAAATATGATCATACAACACTTCTTTCAAGTAAAAAGTCCTATCTTACTTTTTTCCTTACTAATCTTTATTATATCTTTAAGACCATCAATATCATTACATGAAATTTTCTCATTTATTTTTTATGGCTGTGTAATATTTTACTCTATGAATGATCAATACTTCAAAGCCCCCAAAGCTGAAAAGTAAACTATTTTCAAATTTTTTGCCATTATAAATAATAATATAATAGATAAAACATGTATAATTTCATGTATATATTTCTAAATTGACTTTCTAGAAATGAATTATTAGGTGAAAATTGGTATGAATTTGTAATTTTTTAAGAATTATCGATTTTCCTTTCCAAAGGTTTATCAATTAAAACTCTGCCCACTAAAACATGAGAATGTATTTTCCCAGACTCTACCTAGCCATAAGGGGTTAAAGTTATCAAATATTTTCTTCTCTGTGAATAGGCAAGAAAGATATCACATCATGGTTTTAAAACATTTCAAAAATGAGAATGAGGGCCTCCCTGGTTGTGCAACCAGTTAAGACACAACCTATGAAGCTGTCTGCAGCCTCTGCAGCCCAAGTTCGATCCCTGGCCGGCCAGGGAGCTACCCACATGGTGCAGCAGACCTCTCCTGATTCACCTGCTGTTCCCCTCAGCAGTGTACTTCAGTCAGTCCACCTGTTCTGCTCCCCACTCTGTCTCTGGTGAATCCTCTCACCCCTCAACCTCTGGCCTATATCCCAGCTCTTGTATGCATAAATAAATAAATCTTTAAAAAAAAAAAGAGAGAGAGAGAGAATTATATGGTGGAGGTTGGAGGGTTATAGGTATCTTGGCAGTAGGTGGGTGTGGTGTGGTAACCGCATCTGAGGAGGAGTGACTCTATTCCTCTGAATCACAAATGGTGTTCTAAACCAACATTGCATAAATTTAAAAAAGAGAGAATGAAATATATGCGTGAGATACATTTGCATAGCCTTTCCTATAAACTGTCTATTTATATCCTTTATCCATTTCCTACTGGATTGATTTTCAGGGACTCTGTGATGAGGAATATAAATATTTTTTCTTGACTATCATTTTTCTTTTAATCTTTCTTGTGGTGGTTTTTGTTAAGGTGAAACTTGTATTTTACTGCTTCTGCTTTTTGTGGCAAGCTTGTAAAAGACCTTTACCATCCCAGGAATATTTTTTTAAAATCTCCTGTGACATTACATTATGTAAAATTATTTAATCACTACAACTCTAAGAGCGAGTCATTATAATTATTTGCATTTTACCAATAAAGTTAAATAACTTGTCCTAAGTCATGATGCCAGTAAATTGTATAGACAATCTAAATCTAGGCACTCTGACTCTGGCTTGTACTCTGAAATACTTCATTATATTTCTTCCTGAAGATAATAGGAAACTTCTAGAGCATTTTAAGCCTGGTTCTTTATATAATTCCACTTGTAGGAAGAAAATCCTAACTTGCAAATGTGGGATGGATTACAGCTGGGGAAAAACATGAATCTGAAAGGGAAAACTGAATTCATTCATTTACCTAAAAGTATATTGTGAGCAAAAAAAAAAAAAAAAAAAACTGCCATGATTTTTAAGTTAAAAAATTTCCCCCTATCCTCTTACCTCCCTACCTGTCCTTTCCTTCCTTCACTTACTTGTTTTAATAATCCTTACTTGATATGAAATTTACTTTTATAAATTGGCATGATTGCATCTTATGAGATATATTGGGGAATTGTCCATTAAAGCTCAAGAGGTAGCCAGAAAGCACAGATATCTAGCAGACTTGCCCCTACCAAGATTACAAAACACAACATATATGACTTCTAACTCAGCAAATTTACCTAAAACTAATACATTTAATATGATGATGACTTTGCTAATCAGAAATAACAAAGGTATTTAGTGGTACTACCTTGTCAGTTACACTTTAGCTCATAAGACTCTTGACCATTGTGATTTAATAGCAACATTTAAATACCTAAATACTCAGTGCATTTAGGAATAGAAAAAAAAAAAGTGCACATAGCAAGAAACAGAGGAGTAAGTAACTATCTACCTAGGGTTTATTGAAGAAAGTCCAAAGGACCTTAGGAACTATCTCATGCTACTCAGACTGCTAAAACAAAATGCCACAGACTAAGAGGATTATACAACAGACATTTGTTTCTTACAGTTATGAAAGCTGGAAGTCCAAAATCAGGATACAGGCAGATTCGGTGTCTGGAATAGACTGCTGCCTCTTTCTGTATCCTCACACAGTGGAGAGAGGTCTCCTGTCTCTTGTTTTTATAATGGCATTAGCTCCATCACAAGGGTCCCACTCTCATGACTCAACCTAATCCTATAAATCCCTTAAGGTTCCACCTCCAAATATTATCGCATTGAGGAATCAATCAGGATTTTACCATAATGCATTTTGAGGGGATGTATTCAATCTTTATTTTATATATTTAGAAATCAGAGCTCAATATCCTCATTATACAAATTATGAAAATGTTTACTCCAGACCTAATTAAGAAAGACACACTTTAGGAAGCACTGACCTTCATATTCCTCTTCATTCTCAAGATAATCATCATCCAGCACATTTAGCAGTCTCAGCACTGGAGTAGGAAGCATCACCAGATCTTCAATATGAGGGGCTGTAAAAGTTAATTATAATATGGTTAAACATAAACCCCCCAGATAAAATGGTGAACACCAATTTGGCAAAGGAATTTGGAAATATAAATTAGTTCTGATTATCAAATGACCAAGAAAAAAAATAAATGTCCAAAGAACTTACCAAAAGGAATGCTAAAGAATGGGCTGCACAATGCCATCTCAGCAGGAATTCTCCTGCTCGGATCATCATGAAGCATGCTTAAAAGGCAAAAATGGATATCCTTACAATTATTACCCAATCTTTTGAAAATGCAAGCATTAAACCAAGTAAAAATGACTAAGTGTTCATTGCAGAATCATTAATTATATTATCATGACTTACTGAATCTACAAAAAATATGCTATTTATGGGTAAATGGCTCAATAAATTATGATACATACCAATGACATATTATGTTTTTAAGTTAAAATAATATTTTTTGATTAATATATACAACATGGGAGTGTGATCCACACTCAATATTATAGTGAAAAAACCTAGATATAGATTTAGGGTAATCCAATTCTAAAAAGGACAAGAGATGAAATTATATTTAGATACTGTCAAATCCCCTGAATAATAGAACTTGATGGCAAAATCAAAAATCTATGGGCAATATCTACTACAACAATACCAGGAAACTCCAATAAACTGCAAAACACAAGAGGCCAGGACAAATTGATAATAACATTAAGACTTTTACCACCTGAACATATACAATGTTTGAAAATATGCAGAGAGGGCCTCCCTGGTGGCGCAGGCAGTTGAGCACAGAGCTGTGAAGCTGACCGCAGCCTCTGCAGCATGAGTTCAATCCCAGCCGGCCGGCGAGATACCCACATGGCACGGCAGACCTCTCCTATCTCGCCCGCTGCTCCCCTCAGCAGTGTATTTCAGTCAGTCTGCCTGTTCTGTTCCCCACTCTGTCTCTGGTGAATCCTCTCACCCTCCCGCACAGATGGCCTGTATCCCGGATCTCGTGTAAATAAATAAATCTTAAAAAAAAAAAATATGCAGAAAGAAACAGTTGATCTGACGAACCAGAGGAAAGACTAACTCAACATAGTGAACAGGTATCCACTAGAAAGCACAAGCCAACTTAAGAAAAGTATCTGCAACCACAAGGGGTGATGCACTCCAATTCCAGGTGGATGAAGGGGACCTCTGTAAGAGCTGAGAGGCTGGAGTTACTGAAACACCAACTCAAAACTAGGTAGTCAAAGCTACTACCCAGAGCAAAGTCCCAAAGAGAAAACAACTCTTAGGAACAGAATTCAAACCGAACCAGATGCAGTAAATAAAAATAAAGAGAGTCTGAAACAGAGACAGACACCCCAAAGAATATCTAAAGTAAAACTTTTATTTCTAAAGGAACAAAAATCTCTACATGATCAAGTAAGCCAAAAATAATAAATCCATTCAGTAAAATAAAAATGCTTTAGACAACTGTAAATCAGAGACACACTGGGGGGCGGGGAGGATTAGGGTCAAAATAAGTGGGGGGGGGGTGTGCAATTGTATGGGGAATATAACCAAAATGAAAATACATACATTGTGCAAAAATGAAAAATGATGTAAGAATTATATAAAATAAAATATTAAAAAATGCTTTAGATAGCAAATATACATGCAAGGGAAGTTTTAATGTAGACGTAATGTACCTTTTGATAAGGTCTCTTAGGTGATAGGCTGGAATTGCGGCATTCACCACTGCTTTACTGGCAAATATGTGATCAATAATAGCAGAACTGTTTGCCTGGAAAAAGGAGAAAAGTCTTCCTTTGATTCAATCTATAGTTATTAAGATTCAAACTATAGTTACTAAGAACTAGGCACACAGCATTATACCGACTGGTTAGTAAGATGCCCCAGAAAGTACTCTTTTTTAAGAGCTCAACATCTTGATGGAGATTATGTAAATAAATGGCTAGAGAAAGGGAACATTTTTTTCTCTCTTCTCAGCACCTAGCACAATACTTAGCAACCACATAAAAATGCAATTTTAGGCAAAATGAGAAAAGGAATGTAAGTTAGGTGAGTCCAAGTGTTAGTGATGAGACTTGAACTGGTTTTCAGATAGAAATAAATTACCAAAGAGAAAAAAAGGATAATAATTAAAAATTGCATTTGTCACATTATTCACTGCAGGACACAACATCCTAGGAATCATAGTACTCCCTGAGTGCTATGAAGTATGAACAAGAGAAGAAAGACCCAACACCATCATTATCACTAAAATTTACTGAATACTTACCACAGGCCACACACCAAACTAAAAACTAGGTATCATTTCTTTTTTAACCTCAATACTCTCATGAGACATATACTTTATTATCCTCATTTTACAGAATATAAATCATGGTTTAGTAATACTAAATGACCTAGTAAGAGGTGTAAGCAAAATATGAACCCTACTAATTTGATGTCAGAGCCCACACTCATACACACTTAGCTATTTTGCCTCCACAGAAAGTGATAAAATTAGGATAACGATGTTTTTATCTAAGAAATACTGAAAATTCCATTAGTATACATCTTGCTTCCAAATTCATCCAAAATGTCTGAATGTAACCTAATTCCCATCAGTCCTGGCTCAAGCAAATACAGTTTGAAAGGATCAATGACAATCAAAGCAAATTCAAGTAACTGATCTGTATTTGGATAAAAGCACTAAAGGAAAAACACTTAGCCTCTTGACTGTTTGGGAGTTTCAATGAGAAAGAATGATACTGATTTACTCCAAGACAGCACTCTTTTGCCAAAAGTAAGCACTATGGATACCCACTAAGTGATTAAAGTATTCCTTTCATGATGACTACTGTTTTAAAGTAATAAAACTTTATATGGTATAAAAGCTACACACAATGTATTGGATGCCAAAAAAATGTCATTTCAATATCAAAACCAGTGATAATTCCGAAATACTGTATTATTTACTAAACCTGTACCCTAAAAGATACTGACATCAACACAACATTGAAGCCGCACAATACAGTTAATTTTGAACTTAAGAACATATAAAATGTTCCTTCCTTATGTCAGAGCTTTGCAACTTAGTAGCTATGTTACTATAGAAACAATGCTACAATCAGCATTCACTTTACTAGGATAGTTCACATATCAGCTACAGATTATTAGGAAGCAATGTGGACTTGTGTATCAAATAGGAGAAACAGAATTTGGGGCTCAAGTCTGGACTATTCAGCTGTAGGACCAGAAGCAAATGACTTTACATATCTGTGGCTCCAGTTTGTTATTTGTGAAAGAATAACCTTTATCCTTTATCTCCTAAAATTTCCTTTATCTTCATAAAATAATAAAACTTTATATGGTATAATAGCTATAATAGGAGAACTCAATGAGATTATACATTAAATTACCTTTTAAAGCATTAACCATAAACGTTGTGAGATTATCATTTAACTTATACCTTTGTATGAGTAGTATTTTAGAATGTAGTACAAATTACTAAACAAGTCACTTTTACGTCTTTGAGAAAATGTATTAAATCATATATTTTATCAAGCACTTACTACATGCCAGGCCCCGATCTAAAAACACATCCGTAGCTATGGGAGTAGAGTGGCATTCAAGGTACCATAAATGAAGGAAGAGGAGTATGGAAGAGATGAAGGAATCGGAGTCCCCAGTAAGTAACACTATAGAGCACATTTAAAGACTCTAAGCAAAACAATGGGGCAGTTTACCTTCCATTCCTGAGATCTGACTGTATGTTTCAGTTTCATTCCTGAGAACATTTCCAGTAAAATGATTCCTAGGCTCCACAGATCAACAGCTGAGGTACATTCTGTATCACTCTGCAGGCCAGCCTGGGCCAAGCAATTTTGCAGTTCTGCTTCTGGAGCCCGATACCCGTCTGTCTGAATATACTTTACATCCTAAAGAAAATAAGTAAATATATCCAATAAAAAATTGTTTACTTTCCATCCATCTCTACAATGTATTTACTTCACTAAAACTGCAATAAACCACTTGCCAAACTGAATATCACAAATGTCCAGTCCTTGGTTACCATAATTTTTTGATTCATCAATTAGGCAGTTCTCACAGGCAAGCTGTACACATTCCACAGGGTTGCTTGTTTCTGTAGGTAGTTTCCTGCCTATTAAACCCTGCTGACAAATAAGGACACTCTACTAAGAGCTGATAAACCATGCCACATTTAAAGGGTTGGTCACATGATTTGCCATCAGCTAGCACTCAAATATTGAAGATACCCATTACAGTAATTCAGCAATTAACCAAATACGTAAAGAATAAAAAGCATTCTATGCAGGTAAAATATTCTTAATCATTCCACAGCCCTCTTATGCTTCACCAGCTCTCCCTTGAAAGTCTCTACTAAACCACAGAGATAATTTGAAAATATCTGGCTTAGGTTTTTGGTGGGGAGAGGAGGGAAGAAAGTATTACTTACCTGATTGCCTTCTTTGAAGCTAAGTCCAAAGTCAATAAGCTTAAAACATTCATTCTCTGCACTCCACAGTATGTTACGTGGTTTGAGGTCTGCATGGACATAACCCTCATGATGAAGAAAAGCAAGGGCCTCCAGAACATCTCTGGCACAATGCTGTATCATCCACATGGAACAACCCTGGTGACTGGAATATAAGAGCAATTCCGAAACACTGACATCCAGGAGTTCGAGCAACAGACAGCGTGATGGCACATTTGGAGAGAAGTGAATCGTAAAGACGCCATACAAAGTCACTAAAGAAAGAAAAGTCAGACTCAAAGTAAGTTAAAGCTCCAGTTAAAGCTTTGCAATACAAATTTAGGTTAGTCTAGGTAAGGATAACTTTATAAGCAAAGAAGCTACCACTGTGCTACTTTTCCCATTAATAAAAATGTTCAAGAAACCGGATTATTTTAATAAAATAAGATGAAATAACCGTCAAGCTGATTATTATTCAAAGATATTAAATACAACACAGTAGTTCAAATTGTGTTTCACCGAACACTCGGTGGGTGAATATGCACTCAATGTACACAGCAAAAATGATGGACTATAAAAACCCAAATATTAAGTATTCTTAAGATGTCACAACGCGCAAATAAGATTGGTTCTTGATTCAAAATGACACTCTATAACCAAAATATTAAAAGAGATGAAGACTTTCAAGATGGCATTGTAACCTAATTTTTAAGAGCTTCAACAAGTGCCTAGGCCTAAAAAAGCTGCAGAATTTTTCCCCTTAAATACTGGGGTTATAAACACCATTTAGCAAGCTTAAAAAAGAAGGCTACACTGGCGTTAAGAAATTCTTCTTCAAATGGTAATTTAAAAAGATAACTCTTCAAATAAAAAGATTGATTGTCAGGAATTTCTTTACTAGCTGAGCTATAACTAATTATAAGCTCTCTACTGCTATAAAGACAAGGTAGACTGTTTTCTAGATCAGTCGTCAGTAATATTATAAAACTTACATTCTGATTGTCTGCATCAAGAAACAGTCCTCACCAGGATAAAATCTTAAAGCGGTCCTCATTTTCACCTTCCTTAAGGACTCATGTAATCCTGAGTCATTTTCTCCTACACCAAATATGTATCCTGTAACATCTATATGAGTTACTGGCATTGACGTTCCAAGTCTTAGACTTATTCCCCATTTTCCACTGGTATGCAAAAATTCAAAATTTTCTATACAAGACATGCCAATCTAGCAAAAATATAACCCATCTCACTAAAGCAGGTCACTCTCTTTGAGAATAGGAGCCGACTCCAAAGAGACCCGCAGTAAAACAGAACTTATTGCACATGTAAAGCAAGACCACCAACTTGGGTGTTCTGCAGACAGTGACAGAGTGAAAGGGGGAGGGGAAGGGGCCTGGATCCGGTGAGAGGCCAGACACCCTCTCCCGCTGACCAGGGTGAGACGGAGTGTGCCAGGTTTGGAGAGGGCAGAGTCTGCAAGTGCGGGGCCCTGGGTAGACGAGAAGGGGACCTGGGCATTACCGATGTTCCGATGACCCTGCAGCTGCTCCAGCGCCGCCCTCTCTTTGCGGAAACCGTACTCGGCGGCCGAGGCCGCAGCCCCGGTGGTTCCCGGCGGTAAGAACTGCTTGAGGGCGCCGGGGGGCGAGCCGGGCGTGCCGCAGCAGCGCACTCGGTACACCGAGGCTGAGGAGCCGCTGCCCAGGCGGCTCTGTACCTGCCACAGCCGCCCGAAGGCTTCCAAGAAGCGCGGCGGCTCCGCGCCCCAAGAGCAGCCGGACCCCGCCATCCCTGTGGCCCGAGGGCACTGACGCGGGAGCTGACGCGACGCCCGGGACGGCTGGCAGAGCCCGCGGTCACATCCCCGCCTGCCGGACCAGCGGCTCCGCGGGTACGGGCCTGCAGCCGCCCCACCGCTAGCCGAGAACTCAGGCCGCCATGACACCGGAAACCCTGTACAACCAGGTCTCAGAAGGCGGAAGTGGAGGACGAGCCAATCCTGGCTGCCGAGGGAGGCGGGTCCGACGGGGGCGGGGCTTGGAATCAATGGGGTGCACTGGGCATGCAGGGGGAGACTGAGGCTGAGTGAGGGTTCTCTTTTCCGAGTACTTGCCCCTCCTGTCCTAGTGCTAATCTCTTTTACAGACATTTCCTAAAATAAAAACTTGTTCTTTTTCTGGCTGAGGCACTTTGCCACACCACGGGGAGTCCTAGAAAATAAAACCTCGTTTATATTTCTCATAAACTCTGCCAAGGGAAATAGCCCAGTTGATAAAAGAGAAGATAGGGCCTTCCTGGGGTGCAGCAGGTTGAGCGCAGCGCTGTGAAGCTGTCCGCAGCCTCTGCAGCATGGGTTCGATTCCCAGCCAGCCAGGGAGCTACCCACATGGCGAGGCAGACCTCTCCTGTCGTGCCCGCTGCTCCCCTTAGCAGTGTGTTTATCAGTCTGCCTGTTCTCCCTGCTCTGTCTCTGGTGAATTCTCTCACCCTCCTGTGCCTCTGACTGTACCCCAGTTCTTGTATAAATGAATAAATCTTTGGAAAAAAAGAAGTTATACCTCTGTCCCTTGGCCACTAGTCTGCCATACTTCTGGATACCCAGTCCCATGAGCTTCTCTTAATCCACCTCGCCATTCACCCAGGGAAGCGTGAAACTTACCGATTTTTCATTTTTTATTTATTCATTCAGTTCTTTTGCTCATTCAAAAAGCGTTTACTGAGTCACAACTGTAGCCAATAGGAATCTCAGAACACAAACCAGGGGTGTGTGTAATAAGTGTCGCCTTCCTTATTTTGTGTAATTCAACTAATTCAACTTAAACTTCAAGCTCCATTCAAATGGGGTGGCAGAAACTTAGTCTCAAATTGCCCCCATCTTCTTTCCTTCCATTTTATCTAAATTGTCAGGCAAGTCATTTTAGAAAAATGTGAGTAAAAGGAAACATTTAGCTCAAGTCTTGTTGAAATAGAGTGTATTGTAATCTGAGAGAAAGTAAATGCTGGATTTTAGAAGTTGACTTGTGAAAAAAAATTATAATAATAGATTTAGTAATAGATATATAATCTATATCTTATTTACTTTTAAGCTTTTTTCCTGAACTTTAGAAGTTACTGGTCTGAAAGAATTCTACAGTGATGCTTTATTTCTTTTTGCGTGGCCATTTCCAACTTCTTCTCTTATTCTATGTTATCTTGTCATTATTACCTGTTAACAAAGAAAGTAAAGAAACTAAATAATATAACTGAGCCACCAAGAACAAATGGTGACACCAACAATCATCCAAAATAAATTTGCTTTGGAATACCTTTCCACAATGGCCATTCTGACGTCATACAATTATAAAAACAGGTCACGGGAAGAAAAAAGGACAAAGAAAGAAAAAGAACTAGAACCTTCTTATCATGACATCCTCAGTGGACTGCAAAGATGCAATAGATAGCTAATGGTGGTTTTGGCACTATTTCTAAATAATTTCCTTCAGGTATTCTGTCCACTTGTGGTATTTGAGGGAAATAAATAACATTTTCTCTCCTTGCCCAAGTTACTGCTCTTGGAATAGACCAGGATAACATGTGGTATAGATAATTCATCTTGTTGACCCTTTTGGAAAAGACAGCATAGACCAGCTATAAAAGGGAATTCCAACATGTCCAGATTTTTGAATTTGAACTCTTAATAGCTATGGGTTACTGGTGACTAAAGATCCAAGAAAAGTAGGGTTAATAAATTAACAAAATTTCTCAAGAAGAAAGCATATGTAATACATGCAGTATTCATTAATGTCTCTGCCCTACAAGAATTTAGCAGGCTTCAGCAGAATCGATAGGCAATAACATGTCTTAGTACATGATGTCTTAAGATATCCAGAGTGGTGGCTGAGAACATAGGCTGTAGAGTTGGGCTGTCAGGCTTCCAATCCAAGATTCACCATTGTCATCACGAGTGTCATTTTGGACAAGTGACTTTTAACTAAACCTTTTGTTCTTCAACTGCAAAACATCATTGGTTACTATGGAGAATGAAAAAATTCCTGTGCTTAAAGAGTTTAACATAATTCCTGGACAGATTAAGGGTTCAGTAACCATTAGTTATTCTTATATAGATATTTAATTAATTGTGTTGACCAAAAAAATATCTGTGAAGACGAGACTGAAGAATTTTAAAACTGTCTTTCTGGTTAGGACCTACAGGTGGCGCTACTACCTCACCTATTCTATTTTTGGGGGTGGTGGTGAGCGTTTGCCAGTAGCCATTCTCCGGAGCCACTAAGTACAAGAACCGGAGTGGAAGATGTAGGAAAGAAAGTAAGCTGTTGCAATGGGGAAAAACATTTGTATGTTAGAGTCCCATATAGGAAAGTCCCAAGTTTCCTATGTTGGAGTCGCATCTAGATTTCTTGGACATCTAGCTAGTATGTATTATTAGATGGGTAGACTTTATATCCCTCCCCACCCCAAATGATAGCGAACCTAAGATATTACCCTTAAACTCAGCTTGTTTTAAATGTCATTGGCTTGATTTTAACTACCCAGGTTGGTCTTATCAGAAAACTAAATTCTCCAAAATTTTCCTCTCAAGACATGCAGTTTTTTAGAAATTACTATGTCACTGAACAACCGAACTTCCACACGTTTAGCAAAAGCACGGGTTGTGTAGTCTTATACTACTTGTTACTACAAAACTTCAAAGTAGGCAATGACAAATGATTTAGTGAATACAAAAATTTCAGAAAAACTGCAGATTCTGAAGCAGACACTGAGAGTAGGCAATTTTTTGTGCATTTTTATTTCAAAACAACTTAAATTTTTAAACCTATGATTTTTGTATGTAAACTTTATTTTTTTTTCTAGACTATAAATGAAGACTAATCCTGAATTAGTCTGCTGTATGTAAAGAATGCAAGCCTATGGGAAGATATTTTCTGTACTGATGCTTATTTGTACAAATACTATTCGAAGCTAATGACATAATGCATCTATGCAAAATCAGCCAAAAGTTAATAGCTATCAAAATGGATGTGAGATATCCTGGTGAGTGAGATATAGGACGAAAATATAATATGAAAGTGGGAGTTAAGTGAGTTACTTACCTGTGAGTCCAAGTAGGCCTTCACGGGAAGCACCTTTGAGAAGCCAAAGAATGATAGTGTAATATAAACCACTAGTGTTACATGTGGACTAGACCTAAAGTTTTTGGAAAACCATGTTCCCCAGATTTTTTATTTCGCAGAAAATCTCAGCTCTTAACATGTTGAAGTAATTTTATTATCTGAGAGGAAAAATAAAGGTGAAAAATTTTAAGCTATTGTAGCTGTATCATTTACAAAATCATATGGCTTTAAAAAGTTTGAAATGAAACGTTTGCAAGGTCTATAAGTTAAGCTAGCCATAAGGATTATGAACTACTTGACAACTGATGGTTACGTTTGATCAGATTAGAAATATATCAGGAGGATGGGAAATGTATTTGGTTAAGGAATAGTTGATGTATTCAGTTAGAAAGTTTATAATGATAAAATTACATGATTATATGTGCTTAGAAATATTCTTTATGCTATGTTAACAAAAGTAGAACATACTAATAGAGTGTAGATTCAGGAGATTACATCTTGCTTAGTAAGACATGAAAATACAGAGGAGATATGCAGTTGCCAATTTATTATCACTCAGATCCTGTAACTGAGCCTAAAAGATTAAATTAATACAAAGAGGGGGAAAAAACTTATATGAACTATTTTCTGAGACTTGTTTTTACAGACACAGTAGAGGCTACAGTCTCATGGACAGCCTGGAGCTGAGCTCCAAGGCTGGCTATAGACAGATCACAAAGAGGGGAGGGTATACCAACTAAAATCCAAAACTCTTTTCTGAAGAAAAGTCTCTTCATACTCCATGTACAGAGTGCCGTGTGACTAACCAATAAACTTCAGTCAAGTCCACATTTCTTTACTCCTAACCTACTTTTCAGTTAATAAAATTTAACTTCTTTGTTCTCAAGCCTGGCACCCCTCCCCCAAATCTATATAACTTCATTTTCTTTCTTAATCAGCAATTTATATTTAGCTCCTTGACAATCAATTCACAAGTAAAGCTGATTTCTGAGAAACATGATGTCATTGATCAGATCTGTGCAGGTCATGTGGAGAACACTTTAATTCGTTTTCAGATACTGAATGGACAGATATACTCCTATGTTCACTGAAGCACTAGTTATAATAGGTGAGTTATGGGAACAACCCAAGTATCCAGGAATGTGTGGCATATGATGATGTGAGGTATGTATAAACACAATGGAATGCTACTCAGATATAAAAATAGTCTTGCCATTTGCAAAACATGGATGGAATTATAGAGGATTTTGTTAAGTGAAATAAGTCAGAAGGAGAATGACAAATGTAAATGATTTCACTCGTGGAATATAAAGAAACCAAAAAGAGGAATAAACAAAACGAAACCAAAGCAACTATAGAAATCTGACTGCAGAATCGAGGCTACCAAAGGGGGACAATAGAAGGTGGAACGTAAAGGGTGAAGGACCCAGTAGAATATGTTGGAGGATTATTGGTGCTTTGGTAGTGTGCAAGGTCTTACAATATACATCAAATGCAGTGTCATAAATCAATATTTTCTCAATAAAGAGAATACAGATAATATAGATTTATCTATTGATCTATCTATCTATGTACCTATCAATCATCTATACTTTTTAGAAATTCTGGTTAGAGTAATTGGTAAGAAGGAAATAAAGGTTATTCAGATTGGAAAGGAAGATGCAAAATTTTCCATATCTGTAACAAGTATGTGTGTCATGAGGCCTACAGCTCTGTATCTTATGACTAAACTTATCCTCCACGCATTTGGAATGTTATGTTGAATGTTATAATGATCACCAAATAGACAAAAAATCATAT